ATTGAACAACCAATCATTGAAATTCCACAAGCTATTGATAATGTTCAAGTAGATAAGGTAATTCAAGAATTACCAGAACCTCATGAACAAATAGTTGAACCACAAGCTTCTCAGGAAGATGATGGTACAACGGTAAGAAGATCTACTAGAACTAAAAGGTCAGTAATTCTAGTGATTATGAAGTGTATCTACAAAAACCTGACCACAATATTGGAGCCGAAAATGATCCCGAATCCTTTTCACAAGCCATGAGTTGTAAAGAGTCAGAATTATGGTACAATGCTATGAAGGAAGAAACGAGTTCTATAAAGAGCAATGAAGTCTAGGATCTTGTTGAGTTGCCCAGTGACGCCAAAGCCATTGGCTGTAAATGGGTCTTTAAGACTAAGAAAGACTCTTTAGGTAATATCGAGTGATATAGGTGAGACTTGTTGCTATGGGATTTACTCAAAAGGAGGAAATCGATTACATGGGGACCTTCTCTCCGATATCTAAGAAAGATTCTCTACATATTATTTTAGCATTAGTAGCCTAATTTGATCTTGAATTATAACAAATGGATGTGAAAAAAACATTTTCAATGGAGATTTAGAAGAGGAGGTTCATATGAAACAACCTAAAGGATTCCCCTCTAATAATGATGAGTACTTGATTTGTAAGCCTAAAAAGTCTATATACGGTCTGAAACAAGCATCTGGTCAATGGTACTTAAAATTTCATGGAGTAATTTCTTCATTTGGATTTGTTGAAAACCCCATGGATCAATGTATACATAGACGATATTTTACTTGCAACCAATGATAAGGTTTTGTTGCATAAGGTGAAACAATTTCTTTCTAAACATTTTGATATGAAGGATATGGGTGATGCATCTTATGTCATTGGCATTAAGATTCATAGAGACAGATTATGAGGTATTTTGGGTATGTCTCAGGAAAGTTATATTAACAAAGTTTTAGAGAGATTTCGGATGAAAGATTGTTCACTAGCTCCCATTGTGAGGGATGATAAGTTCAATTTGAAACAATGCCCGAAAAATGATCTAGAGAGGGAATAAATGAAGAACATTCCATATGCTTCTACTATCGGAAGTTGATGTATGCTTAAGTCTGCACGAGGGTTGGCATTGCATTTGCTATAGGAATTTAGGACGATATCAATGTAACCCATGTATGGACCACTGTAAAGCAGTAAAGAAAGTAATGCGGTACCTTCAAGGAACAAAAAATTACATGCTTGTGTATAGACGAAAGGATAATCTAGAAGTGATTGGATACTCAGATTCAGATTTTGCCGGCTGTATTGATTCACGAAAATCAACATCAGGGTACATATTTATGATGGCTGGTGGAGCTATATCATGGAGGAGTGCTAAGCAAACCTTAATTGCTACTTCCACTATGGAAGTGGAGTTCGTTTCTTGTTCTGAGGCTACATCGCATGGTGTATGGATCAAGAGTTTCATATCTGGGCTTAGAATTATGGATTCCATTTATAGGTAATTGAGAATTTACCGTGACAATTTGGCTGCTATCTTTATGGCTAAAAATAACAAAAGTGGTAGTCGAAGTAAACATATCGACATTAAGTATCTAACCATAAGGGAATGTATTAAAAGTGGTCATTAAGCACGTAAGCACTGGATTGATGATCCCTGATCCTTGGGCTAAAGGCATGCCATCATTGAAATTCAAGGATCATATCGAGAAAATGGGACATGGTTCCACTATGCAATGGTAGATACAATTTTTGAATGAAACTCTTATCTATTGTGGTATTTTCTCATATTCATGCGCACCTTAATTTATTTGAGAAAATACATTTATGTAGGACCAAGAATAAGACATAAGGTCTTTTCATTAAGTATTGTTACCACATAAAGAAAGGTTCTTGAGGAACTAAATGCATCGTAATACATGGAAGGTGATACTCATTATTAGAGGACACATCACCATGATTCATGTGTTCGTTTTTTTTAAGAAAATGCAATCAATAAGATTAAGTTGAAACATGAGGTTGAATGTGTGGACCAAGTGGGAGAATGTGACATTTCATCTTCCATTTCAGTTTCTTCATCCGGCAATTGAAGGGACAAATGATGGTCCACATTTATTGGAGTTTCAATATTTACACCACTGGTATTGAAGGGTTTGTAACCTAACCCATAATTTGATGGAAATTTTGGCTATATATATGATGATTTTGGTCCCCCAGCTCAACAACTCGAAATACAATATACACCATCTAGTTAGAGTGTTGAGAGCTCGGAAGCGCCATTACCTAGAACAAAGGAGAGCTTCTGGAATGACAATGGCTGGAGGTATGGATTCGATCCCTGTGATCTTCTGAATTTTCGATCCAATTAGTTTCCGTATATTTGTTCTGGATCAAATTTTCTAACATATACTAGAAGCATAAAAAGGGCTGTTGATTTTTATGTGAATAGTGAAATCATTGGCAAAAAGAAAGAATCCCTAGTTACTGCTTGACGAAGACCCCAATTTATGCTAATGTGTGCCCTTTTTTACACAAATAAAATATAAGGAGATAGAATATGAGAATCTTAGATCGAGGTTGTGTCGAGATTAAATCATTCACAACAATCAATCGAGTGCAAAGAGCCCTTTTATACACAAATAAACATGATACTACCTCCCAAGGTTGGTGATGACGAAGTTGAGTAGAATCACTGCAACACAAGATAAATTGGTGGAATGGGAATGATGAAAACGTCTCCTTTTTCCACTTTTCTTCACATTACATTGTTGCCAATTTTTAGTGGAATACCAAGGAAGAATACCATTAAGCCACTTGTCCCCTCTATAGCTCTGTGCACTTATGGATGAAAACCAACAAGATTTGGCTTTCAGTTGAAACATAAATGGCTTATGAGCAAAGCCCACAAAATAGGCTTCTGTCCCATGGGGCTTTAATTTCTACTCACTGTTATATTCATGTTTCCTCCCTTCTTTAACACATTGAAAATTGAGTTTAAAATATGTGTATTACTAAAACCCTTAATTTGTCATTTATTTTACCAATTATCAGAAGTATAAAAAATACTTGACAAGGTTGAATATCATTCAATGATAAAAGGGATTTTTTTTTTCAAAATATCTTTAAATGTATTTTCAAATCTTTGGTTACATTTTTTATTTTTATTTTTTTTTATGGTTCCCATTACCCAAAAAAGAAAAATAAATAAATAAATAAAAATCAATTATTCAAAGCTAAGGAACATAATATTGAGCTTAATAAAACTAGAGGCTCAAATCTATAAAATATAAGGCAACAAGATTGCGTACCCACCGTGGCTGCAAATAGTTGCGAAACCTGCCCTTTGGATCTATCGTTCACTTATTAAACCAAAAGTCAAAGTAGCAATGCATCAAACACTTTCTCTTCTACGCACAAATCACTCCAATACGACTTTAGATTGTTACGAAAAATGAGTGATTTGTGTATAGATTGATTATCAATTAACATAATAAAATAACAAATACAATTTAACAATAATATAACAAAAAATAGATACAAGATTTAGAAAGCAAGCCTTAGGAGTCACGTCGAAGACACTGTTCCTAATGTCCATTGCCTCCTTTTTGTACGGGTAATTTCGGCACAATACAACTTCAAGATAAAACTCTGTAGCTCACAGTCGGTTCTTCTTCTATGGGCACGACCATAGGAAAATAAGTGAACGAATCTTTTATTGAGTTGTCAAAATTATAAGAATATAGCATGAATTGTATAAAATATTTATCTTTCAAGTTGTGTATAACACAATGAAAACAATCCCCTTCTATAGGGACAAATTCCAACTCCCACAATTAATCTAATATTATGAGTTTTAAATTTTGTAATTAAACCTGAAAATCAAAAGAAAAATTGAAAATTAATAGTTTTTTAATTAAGAAAGTTTGAAACTTATTTTATGTTACAACATTGGCAACATGTGTTGTTTGTGATTTCAAAATGTTTTGTCGCCCAAATTCGGACCTAAAGAGTTTGGTAAATTCAATTTATGGTGCTGGGACTGCAAATCATGAACCCTATAAATAGATCCAAAATTAGAAATTAGTGTTAAATTTTTGCAATCAAGTGAGATGTTGGCATCTGTTACCATCGTTGGAGAAAATGGACAAAATTTATTAGTTCTCAGTTCGTTTTAATTTGGAGATGTGCTTTTGAAATTTCTTTATTGAAATTTGATTCAAGGTGGAAATTTGTTGTAGTTTGATCCATATTCTAGTGGGTATTAAAGTTTTGGTTAAAATAGTCTTGAAAAAAGTCGTCGCATTTTCGTTAGCCTGCTGCTAACTGGCCGCTCGAGCGGCACTTGCATATTTTTTGTAGAGAATTGAGGCTCGCCTAACGCTCTAGCGGCAAAGTTGTTGTTCCAGCGACAAGGTTATCCAGCCTAGGGCCCTTTTGCATTTTAACGAGTTTTTGACTCCTATTCATTTACAACTTAATTTCTAGAGTTTTATATCTATATGTCACAGTTCCCATAATATTCATACAACATTTTAAAAGTTTTAGATCTTAATTAAGATTGTTGAGATCTTATTGTAAACAAAATTACTATTGAGTTTATGTATAAATCTGGGTGATCATATTTTGTTCTTGTTTATTTCATTATTGTCACCATCTTGCGATCAATTCATAACACTATGCATGCGCAAGCTTGATAGCTGCTCATACTGACATTGGAATGATTGCAGAAGCAATGCTAATCCAATTGTTAAAGAATCATTCCCTCAATCTTCCGAGCAGTAGCAGGAACGATAGAATAAAAGGCTTAAATTAAACAAAAAAAAAATTGAAAGAAACTCTAATTTATTTATAGAGCAAGAAGTTGAAAGAAACTAAAATAAATCAAAATTCGAATAAATTAAAACTTTATTGAAGTATTAAAATTAATCTAATCAAATTAAAATAAACATACTTTGAATTAAACTCTAATTTAATATCCTATGTAAGTCCATCTTTATTCTATATTAATCTATGTCTTGATCTCCATCAAAAAGCCTGTGCTTACCAAGTCGAAACATAAACCTTGATGCCCAGCATGTTGAGTCGATTAGGGAAATCCATAACCTACAATTTAGCACTGCATATAAAGTGATTGGAAGCATAGCAAGAATAGCAACAAATTTCGATAATATCCCTTGTTTTTCTTCCTTGTAGACCAAAAAGAAGGTTGTACTAAATGTTAAGACCGTGCAAACAATTGAAGCAAAGAGTGCAATTAGTCCAACCATCAGCTTTGCTGGTAATGAAAATAGAAAATCATCTTCTCCATATCGTGAAATTAAGATAGACAAGAACATCATTATGGAAGCTGTCGAGCTAAACATTGCCACATCATCAGATATAACAAAAATTGTGAACCACCCATCTATCAAGAATATTGGAGCGCATGTTTCTTCTTTATTTCCTCTAGATAGGTAAAGGCGGCAGCAAATGCAATTGTGGCAATTAAAGTTACCACAAACCATACAAGAAGTTGCTCTGTCCTTCATCCGCTTCTCACCAGCTCTCCGTAAATTCTCATGCTCCACCGTAAACAACTCCCATGGTGTTTTGCCTTCTTTGTTTTCATATGAACATAGGAAGGCCGTACAATCTTCTTCACCTCCTGTAAAGCTTACTCAAATTAATGTATATTGCAAAACCATCCAAAATTCAATTTTTTTAATGCATAGAATAGTCTATGGGAGACTTCCAAAAAACTAGGATATATACACATATATATTCAAGATACAATTTACCATGATGCTATGAAGTGTTCCTCTTCTCTCCGAAGGGAAGGGGAGCTGTTACCATGTGAATTTATAACCTTAAACCACAGTAGCTCTCTCTGCATTTGAAGAGCTGGCCCAGCTGATATAGTGTTGAGTCTGCTTGGAGGTGCTAATTTCCCAGCCAAGTGCAAAATATTGTTTCCTTCATCATCAATATAATATGTAATAAAATCCTTAGTAGCTCCTGTTTAATATATGAGACTGAACACTTTAAGATGAAATATGTAATAAAATCCTTAGTAGCTCTTGTCGGTTAACAACAGCAACATGAAATATGGAGTATCTATTTTTCGAGTCGACTTTCCATGTAAGTTCAGGAACTGAATGAGTAAACAGAGTCAGAAACTCGACATTCCCTATTTTTGCAGCATCATGAAGTATCTGAGTCTTTAAGATGTCCGAGTCAAGAAATGTCTTTGGAATCCATTACCACAATCCCATTACCAACCTTTTGGCTTGTCTCCACATTTGAAGTGAGCTATTTATCTCTTTGAAATCTAAACGTCTAAGCAAAATTAACGTGTGGACCACAAACCCAAAGATTTCGAAAAACTAGGAGTGATGTAGCATTCACTAGACAGTTCTGACATTCATCCTTGTTTAGTTTGAATAGACATTAATATAAGGTGGGATGATAAGAAACCTAAATTATCAATACGGAGAAAAAAAAAAGTTAAAGACTTAAGGGTACAATTGAAGAAGCTTCGACACCTCTTCAATGGTATATTCAGTTAAAAAAATATTTTTATTATTGATTTAGTTTTAACGAATTAAAACTCCTTGTTGAAATGGTTGATGCGTATATTGGGAAATTAGTATTTTAACTGTATATATAGTTTTTTCGTTCTTCCTATTATCAACTTCAACATAAGATCTCTAATGATTAATCCTGATACATCGTCTATCCCATTGTTAATTCCAATTTGTTTAATGAATATCCTAATATTACAATCAACTTTGAGAAGTAGAAAAAACTAATTTTCTATTCGTATAATAACAAGTATATATTGAAATGAAGGAGTGATAAGGACACAATTACATCATCATCATCAATGAGGCAATAATCTAAGGATTAATTTTATCTAATAAGTAGAAATTTTTTGGATAAATGATTGGTCTAACTGTAGAAAAGAGTGGGAAAGGTTTAAGGTCTTACATGGAATATAAGGTATAGTAGCAATGACGCCAAGTCTTTCCCATATCCGCCCTTGAAATTTGAGAGGATAAAGGTTTTTGAGCTAAATCTTGTAAAGCACTTTCCGTGCTTATCGCTGTTGAAGTAGCTATTCTTGTTTTTTTTTTTAACATCTTTTAAAGCGATATCCGCTCAAAAAGAAAAACAAGCGCAATAATATGCGAAAATAGTCGGCCTTATTTTGTCACTTGAACAAAAAGTAGAAATAATTTTACGTGGGTACTCAGTCCTATTTTGTCCCCTTCAAATAAAAAGATTTCATACCATACATGTCAGCGTGGATGGCTTCTACAAGAATATCCATTTATTCCTTGTCTTTTAGAAATTCAAGAGGTGTAAGTGGGTAAAGACATTCAGCTATTTTTGTGTTTCTGAACCGAACTGCAATTTCAAATGGGTTATATCCACCGTCACTTCTAATTGCAGGCAGATTCTTGTTTTGTCGTGCATGACCTTGGCAATTTCTACGACCCCTGATACAGCTGCAGCACAGAATGCTCTATATCCATATTTATTCTTCAATTCCATATCACTTTTATTCAAGCATTTGACTAGATTGCAAGCAAAAGAAGTTTGCTTGGCGGACACGGCTATGTGAAGAGCCCTATTTCCTTCTTTTGTTTTAAACGTGTAAAAAATTCATAGAGCATCAAAACTTCACAAGAAATACCATGTAGCACGTATAAAACCAAAGGAGAGATAAACCAGTGTATATAAGTATACAATCATCACCTCTTAATATACAGTACACTAAGGGAGATTAAGTGATTCAACAACGTATCCTCGTATCAGACATCATGAAGCTCAAACGAGTAATTCGAGTTCAAAGATTGGAGTTCACAAATGAAACTCCATATTGTGGAACAGAATAAGGGTAAAATCTCATATTGGCTAAATATAAAAATAATGTGTGACATATATGGAGTTCTGCTAATCTCTTAGCAAATATTGACCTTATAAGATGATATCCAAATAGTACTAAATAGCATATATACACGAATTGGAAAAGAAAATGATAATAACATAGATGAAACTATTATCTCATCAACAAAGTAATTCTGAGTAGGGATGTCATGTTTTATGGAGATAATGCTTGGAACTGAGAGAGAGAGAGAAGAGCCATGGTTACTATACTCAATCAAGAAATGGAGTCTCCATTTTCTAGAATATAAGATGCGAAATTGTACCACTACCACTTGAAAGAAAAGGTAACGAGAGTATTGCATTTGTTTCAAAAAATAATAGAAATATGCACATGTATTTAGTTTGCTCAAGCCATGAAGTGAAAAACAAAATTCAAAAACTTACTTTGATGATAAGTCAGATGTTGTGCGTTGGCATTAGTATTTGGGACTTCAATTTCAGTTTGGTAATCCATGTTTTGCAGTTGTCTGAGAACCGATAGCTAGCTATTAATTAAAAAGTGGTTGAGTCAGAATGTAAACAAGAACATTGGTACATTCTAGATGTAAGTGTTATGCCCTAAGTCCGATCAACTTTGGACATAAATACTTTTAATATATAATTAATGTGATTTCATGGCAGATCTATTATTTAATTAATAGACAAATAAATTAAATAATAGAGTCCGTAAATTTAAATTCTCGTAATTTGTTAATCACAAGAAGTTGCGATTGTGAGATACAAATTACATATGCTTGAATCTTAAATCGTTTGTGGTCATAAGTAATAACGAGATACGGATATCTTATTATAGATAGACCATCACGTGTAGCATTTCTCACTTGTGAAGTAAGTAGCTAATCTCACAAGTTAAAGTGTGTGACACTTGAATGAATACGTGGATGTTTTGTTATAGAACAAAATATTGGAGACCCGCCTAGAAATTGCACATTGATAACTATCTGAGTGTCAATGGTTAATCTCTAACGTTCGGTAGTGGGATTGGTCCTTTAACTTGAGGTCATCATAGTATCTTATATGAGGACAATCATGCTTTGACGGTGTTGGATGTTGCTCTACCAAGGGTCGCTAATACGGCATCGCTCGGGTATGTCAAGAATCGTATGAAGGTTATGAGTGACCAATAGAGGATTTGTAACTCTTAGATAGTAAGAAATTATGATATGCATTTCATTTAATTAAGTAGATAACGAAATCCTTGGCCATGGTGTACTCATAAGTCGAAAATTAGTTTTCGACTTATAGTGACTTAATAGTGGAGTGAAAGATATGATCGATAATCGAGATTAACACACTTTCATATGTTATAATTGATCGGATCATATTGACGAAGGGATTATATTCTCACAGTAAACAAACGAGTTTGGTTTTGTCATACCACGTGACATTTCCCATCGCATGTATTGCCCTGACACATTGCTAGATGTCAATCTGGGACGGCAAGTGTGAATTGGTGATAAATTAAAAGGATATTTTAATTTATCAATTTTGATTAGATCAAAATAATATTTCATATCGTTAGGCATCGTGATCAGGAACTTGATGGGTCGCACACAAAAGAGAATTGGAAGATTGCAATTTGTCAATTAATTAATTTAATAATCGTTGGATAAATTAATTAATTGGGTTGGTTATTTATAGGTCTGAATTAATTAATTAAATTAATTCACAGACCAGGTTTAATAAGTGGATTAATTAAATATTGGACCAGGCTAGGTCAAGCCCGTTTGGGATTATATAAATAATTGATTAAAGTTTACAATTTTATAGAGAATTCATTATTCTTGCTAGCACAAGAAGAAAATCATAATCCTGCAATCTCGTTCTTTGTGTGGATTACTGTTGGATGCTAGACAATTGGACAGTTGTGGGAGACAGATCCAAGTTGTTGGAATAAAGATGTGGCAAAGGACTTTGCAGATCTAGAAAAGGTACAACCTCTATCACAGTTTTTATCTAAACACAAAGGCGGTTCCTGGTGGGGATTGAAAATTGTTTTATTTTTTCACTGTGCATGATAAGTAGATTTCCAATAGTGGTATTAGAGCCTACTTTGTGCTTATTAGAAATTGATTTGCATGATTGAGTAATCAAATTTTGATTGTACATATTTTTCTTGTTTCTAGCAATTTGAAAATTTTGATTTTCAGATTTTAAAATCTGTGTAAAATGAAAAGGAAAAATTAGTTTTCATAATTTCAAATTTTGGTTTTGAAAGCAACAACAAAAATAAAAATAAACAATAGAAGTGTTCGGAATCATTTTTGGGCTTGGTCGCAACAGTCGGTTTGCGGTGGCAGACGCTGCTACAATCAGCGGCGCCTACCGCAGGTTCTGGATTTACAAAATGGGTGATTTGAGTTGGAGTTGGGGGCTTTGTTGCTCATAATTTTCTAAAGAAGGGGCATCTTTGCAATTTACAGAATTGAAGGGCTCTGTTTTTAATTTTGAAACTTGGGTCATTTTGAAAATTTCAAAATTGTTTTGAATTTGAATTTTAAAATTGTACTTTAATCAGTTGGGCCTGTAATTTCAATTTTGACCCAAATTAAAATTTTGTTTAAAATTAACCAATTTTTATATTTTCGTTAAAATATAATTTTAACTTAAATATTAAACTTTGACCATGAGTTAAATTTTATTTAGGAGTATTATCCTAAATTAAAATATTAATTTAAATTAGAGTTCGACTCTAATTTAATACTTAATTAAAAGTTGATTTTAATTAATTATTCACCCGAATATATTCTAGAAATTAGTATTGGATTCTAATTTGACATTTAATTAATATTTGATCTTAGTTAAATTGTCTTGCCCCTAAAATTTTCTTCATATTAGAGTTGGACTCTAATATCTTATTTAATTAAAATTTTATTTTAATTAAATAAGTTCGCCTAATAATTTAATTAAATTCAACCGCCTCAAGTCTTGAAATTAGAGTTGGACTCTAATTTAATGTTTAATTAAAATTTGATTTTAATTAAATAAACCACTCTATAATTGTGAAATTATATTTGAACTCTGATTTGGTACAGTTAATTAAAATTTGATTTTAACTAAATATGTTCGCTAATTAAATTAATTGATTAATATGATTAATTAATTATTTAATTATTTCGATCCATTTGTCTAAAAGAGTTTAGACGATCTAAATTGCTAAAAACTTTAAATGTGTTTGCATATAATATTAAATATTATATAGGCATACATTTATGTGATGAATGTATTATTAGTGGACGATTATGGACTCGACTATATGGATGTGTTGAATGGTTAATTTTATTCTTATCGTTTTATGAGTCTGCGAGTTCTTAATTGTTTTTGACCTACGAGCCCATTATTATTGTTATTATTATGGGCCTGCGAGCTCTTAATCATTTTGGACCTACGAGTCCGTTATTATTATTATTATTACTACTACTACTACTACTACTACTACTACTATGGACCTGCGAGTCCAATTTCATTTAA